GTGGTGGCACACGCCTGTAATCCCAGCACCCGGGAGGCTGAGGCAGGAGGATCATTGTGAGTTCAAGACCAGCCTGGGCTACAAAGTGAGCTCAAGGTCAGCCTGAGCTGCATAGTGAGACCCTGTCTCAAAAAGACAAAAAAAAAAAAAAGTGAAAACTGAAAAAGGGCTGGGGATACGGTTCAGTGTGAAGGGCCAGTGGGGCCGGGGATTACTTTCCTGGCATGATGACACAGGCCAGTCATCCCAGCTACTTGGGAAGCTGAGGCAGGAGAATCAAAGGTTGAAGGACAGCCTGTGCAACTTAATGAGATCCTGTCTCAAAAAATAAAACAGCCGGGGCTGCAGCTGGGCCTTAGAGCACTTGCGCCTGCGTAGGAGGCTCTGGGTTCACCCCCATGCTACAAAATAAGTAAGCAGCAGAAAGGGTTGGGTTGGCGGAGATGAGCCATAGCACGACCACTTGCCAGGCACAGGGCCCAGGGGTCACCCCAGCTGCCGGAAGGGAGCTGGTTCCAGGAAGACGCCAGTCCCCCGCTAGTCTGCAGAGGAGCAGGCGGTGGGCAGGGTGGCGCCGCCCAGGGTGCAGCACGGCCCGAGCTGCCCGCTTCCCCGCCCGGCTGGTGCCTACCCTGCTCTGCCGACCAGGCCAGCTGATTGCTCACGGTCTCTACGATCATGTTGGCGGCCTCCTCATCCTGGAACAGCGCCTGCACCTGCTGCAGGTCGCCCGCGAACAGGGCGCTGTGCACGGCGGGGTCGCGGCAGCGGCGGTGGGGCTTGGCGAGCTGCACCCGGGCCTCGGCAGGGTCCCTGTGGCTACGGCAGCGTCGGGCCACCGCTCGCCGCCGGTCCTCCCACTCCAGCCACTCACGCTGCAGGCGGAGGCTGCGCAGGGCGGAGGTCGTGAAGGGGAAGCTCTGCCCAGCCATGGCCCCGGTGCGGGGTGAGCTGTCCTGCGCCCACCAGCCCGGCCTGGAGCCGCCCGGGCCCTCCCAGGAGCCACAGAGCAGCTGAAGCTATAAATAGCCCGGCTGCTGGGTAGGCAGCGCGGCGGGGCTGTGACCCGGCAGGGAGGAGGCCGCACAGGGAGCTGGCCCTGCGACCCGCACGTGGGGGACAGGGGAGGTGTTGGCGCACACTGAGGCGACAGTCCCATCTTCACCTGGGGCCGCACAGGAGGGCAGCACAGCGTGCATGACCCAGCACCCGCCTGAGCTGGGCCCTCGTCTCCGCCTCCAGGCCAAGAGCTTCAGGCTGCTAAGGTCACCGTCCGTGTCCTCAGGCCAGGCCCAGGGCCCCAGCCCTGCACCAGCCGCAAAGGACCCTGCCCAGCGCTGCCCAGCACAAGAGGCCGCGACCCCCATCGTGGCCTCCTGCCTGGCCACCTCTGCCACCTCCCAGGCTCGCCGTCCCCAGGACTTGGGATTGCAGATGCACGTCCCCAGGTCCACCTCAGAGGTCAGCTGCTGGGGACAGATGTCCCTCAGCAACCCCAGGGTCCCTGCCAGGCAAACATTCATCTGCCACCTGCAGGCAGCAGCTGCCAGGTTCTGCCAGCCCTGCCCTCCTGCCAGGTGGGCTCTGGGGGACAGCAGGTGGCAGACTGAGCACAAGGCCTGCGGGCAGCTACGGGGCAGGCCTAGGGTCAGCGTCTGCAGGGAGAGGGCGACCAAGCCGTGCCCACGGCAGCTGCGGGGAAGCTGAGGCAGGGTGGCTGTGAGCCACCCCAGGAGCTGCCCACTGCCTCCACTTGCCCAGGCGCAGGGGAGCAAGCCAGGCTGGTGACTGAATGCTCGGGCGTCCACACCCCATGCTTGTGGCTGCCCAGCACCGCCGAGTCACCAGTGAAGGAACACGGGTCACAGCCCGAGGTCAAAAGCACACCCCTGGTCCACACTGATGCCAGCGGGGCGGGCAGAGGGAGACCTCTCGGAGTCCTGGGCAGGCGGGCTTCTTCTCAGCGGGCAGCAGGGCCGGAGAGAGCCTGGGCACCCGGCCGGGGGCAGGACACCCTGCCTGCACCTTCCCCGAGCCCTGCCAGGCAGGTCCTGCCCTGCCGAGGGAACGTGAAGGTCATGTTGCCCTGGTCCTGGTACTCGGCCCACGGCACTGCCCGGGGGACAGCGACGAGTGTGCTGCGGGTGTCAGGCCTGGGGTGCGAGCTGGGTGTGCAGCACCAGGCCCCGTGTGACCCTGATGGCAATGCTGTTCCTGAACCCTCGAAACAAGCGACAGAGACAGCGGGCGCTGTGCTGTGCCTGCTGAGGACACACAGAGCTTTATTCCAGGACTGGACCTGGGCAGGCTGTGGCCTGGGTCACCCTCTGTGCTGCAGGCCCGGGAAGGAAGGGACAAGGACACAGGCCCCAGCCTCTCGTGTCCCTGGGGAAGGAGGCTGGGGGTGGCACCGTCCCGCAGGTAGGTGAGGGCGGTGCCAGGGCAAGGACAGGGCAGGGCCAGGCTCGGCCAAGGCTGGGACGCCAGTGCCAGGAAGCTGAGGCCCCCGTGCAGGCTCCAAGAAGATGGGTGTGGAGCCGGGGTGCAGGGGACCCCATCCCGGCCGCTGGCTGCCGCCTCTGGCTGGGCCTCGCCGGTGCCGCTCAGGCTTGGGCACAGGCTGCTGCTCACGGTAGCCCTGCGTCAGCCTGGCCCGAGCCGCCGCCGCCACTGAACAAGTCCTCGGGCAGCTCGCTCAGGAGCCCGTCCAGGTCGTCTGTGGGGACAGGGAGGGGCAGCACTACAGCAGCCGGTGGCACAGGGCTGTGGCTCCATGACTGACCCGGGCTGCCTCGCTCCCGCCTCTCCCAGGAGCAAGGGGACCTCCTTGTCCTTCCACTCAGAGCCACAGGCCCAGTGGGGGACACAGGGCCCCTGGGGAGACCGGAAGCCATCAGAAGTATCCAGGGTCAGCTGGTGGCAGGGACAACGGCACCCAAAAAGGACCCGTAGTCAACAGCAGCACTGAAGGTGGGAGCTGAGGCAGGAGGGTTGCCGCAACCCCGAGGCCGCCTGGGCTGCACAGCGAGAGCTGCTCTCCAACCAGAAACCAAGGAGCGGCAGTGCCGACCCTCGTGGCCTGGGGGAGGCACACAGCTTCCAACAGCATCTCCCCCAAGGCGGGGTGCGCGTGCTCAGGCTCCCCCCGAGGCCACAGCTTCCTCCACTCCCTGAGGAGCCCCACTTCCCGGGGGATCAGGGAGCCCCAGAGTCTGCCACTGTCTAAGCTGCACCTCGGGGCTGAGCTCCGGGTCAGGGTCCAGCAGCAGCTGCCAGGCGGAAGAGCTGGCCTGGGGAGAGGCTGTGTGGGCACTCGCCTATCATCTGGCACTCAGGAGGCTGAGGCAGGACAGCAAAGCTGAGCCCAGCCTGGATGACCCGGCAGGATCTACCTCAAAGCTGGGACACAGTGTGGGGCCAAGGCTCTGGGTGCCGCTGCCAGTACCAGGAGGAAGAAAGGATCGGGACTGTGCCGTGTGGGTGACGCTTGGAAGGGCCGGCAGCCAGTGGGACGGGCCCCCCTCGGGTCCTCACCAGCATCCGGACCTTCCTCCTCAGGGGCCACATCTGCCTGGCGTCTTCCCCGGGGACTTCCTGGGCCCTGGGGACAAAGGACTGGGTACCGAGAGGAACAGGACAGGAGAGGGGTGGCCAAGCCAGGTCAGAACGGCCAGTCCTGCGCTGGTCGCCTCGGAGCGCCCCCGGCCAGGGTGGCGAGACTTAGCGAGACTCTCATCAGAACAAAAGGATATAAAGAGGGCTGGGGATGCAGCTCAGTGTGAAAGCCCTGGCTTCAGCCCACAGTGCCAACCGCCTCCCAAAAAAGAAGAGAGAGAGCCAGGTGCAGTGGCACACGCCTGTGATCCCAGCACTCAGGAGGCTGAGGCAGGAGGATCGTTGCAAGTTCAAGACCAGCCTGAGCTACAAAGTGAGCTCAAAGCCAGTGTGAACTGCATAGGGAGACCCTGTCTCAAAAAGAAAAAAAAGAAAAAAGATCCTTCCTGGACTGAGTGGTTGGAGGACGAGGTGTACGGGCAGCTTAGTGCCGTCCCCGTCACCAGGTCAGACACGCTCACCCTGTGGACAACACGGCAGCAGCAGGGGGTGGGCTCAGCCCGCGTCACAGCAGAGCGGGACGAGACCCTCTGCCAGGCAGAGCAGGGGCACAGCCCGGATGTCCCCGCCTCCCAGGGCCAGGTCCCCTTCCTGCCAGCAGAGGCGAGGGCCCCCGTGTCCCCGCACTGCCACCCAGGGCGCGCCTGATCCGGGTCACCCTCTGCCACCTCGCCTCCCTCCCCTCGGTCACTCTCAAGGCCTGGGCTGTGCCCTCCTGCGGCTGGGCACCAGGACAGGACGGGCGAGGCCCTCCGCCCCTCACCTGGGGGACGGGCTGCGGGGGGCCGAGGAGGCCCTGGCCCCCGGAGTCCGGGCTGTAGACGTGGACCAAGTTGCTGGGTGTCACGTTGAGGTAGTGGTTCCGGGGGGACGGGGAGAACACCCCGACCTGCAGGCGGGCACAGAGCAGCGTCTGCAGGGTGACGGGGGACCAGCCTGTGTCGTGCCCCGCCCCGCCCCCTGCCAGGGTTCTGGGAGCCCTGAGGCTCGCTGCGGCACAGGTGGGGCGGCCGCGGGGGCGTGCCTGCCGCAGCAGCAGCACAGCGCCTGGCCTCAGCGCGCCCCGCCGCGCCTCCAGCAGCGCCCGGTGCACCGTGCCCTGCATCTCCCCTGCAACATCACGCGCCCGTCAGCCCCGGCCGTGGGTGCTGCGCAGGGGCGGCTGCGCCGCGGCTTCACCGGCGTGGGGGCCTCACCCGTGGGGTCTCTGAGCACCACGCTGGCGTCCACGGTGCTGCGCGTCAGGGACTTGACCAGCACGGCCATGGTGGGCACCTTGTTCCCGGGGAGCTGCTTCAGGGCTGCCTGTAGGGCACGACTGCCACTGTGGGCCCGGAGCAGGGACAGTGCCAGGCGCCCGCCGCTGCCTCCTTAGCGACAGGGAGTCTGGCACCCTGGCACGGAGGCCGAGGCCCAGGCATGGCATGGCCCGTGGACTTGGGCTGCCCCCTGGACCAGTGGGGCAGGGCATGCGGGGACTCACCTTCCGCAGCACCATGGCCACGCTGCACGTGTGCAGGAAGCAGGCGGGGTCGCCCTCGTCCAGGCCCAGGGCCGCCTTCATGGCCAGCCAGGGCCCACGCCCAAAGTCCTCCTCCGCCAGGGCCTGGGAGCTGGTGACGGTGGCCTGGCCCCAAGTGGAAGGGACAGCGTGACTGGCTGTCCCTGGGCCGGGCGGAGGGCAGAGGAGGGTGTGTCCAGGAGCGCAGTGGCCTCGGGGCTGGGGACGCTGGGCGGGCCTGTGGCCACAGCCCCTTCCCCGCTGTGGCAGCAGCAGTGGTGCTGCGCCCGACCCACCTGCACTCTCCCGCCCCTTGGGCCGGTGCCCCAATACACTCATGGGTCCCATCCACTGTAGCTCTGACCACTGGCTGATGACCGCGAGCAGAGGAGGGAATCTGTGCTGCCCCCCCCACAGGGCCCCGCTGAGCCGGGGTGAGGACAGCCTTCCGTCCCAGGAAGCCAACAGGAAGGGTCTCGGATAGCATCTCAATCCTTTGTGTTTGAGGCAGGGTCTTGCTGTGTAGTCCAGGCTGGCCTTGAACTCACTATGTAGCCCAGGCTGGCCTCGAACTCCTTGCGATCCTCCTGCCTCAGCCTCCTGAGTGCTGGGATCACAGGTGTGGATCACCACACCTTGTCTGAGATCTCCTAGTGCACACTGCCCTCCTCCTGCAAGAGCAGCCACACCTGTGCCCATTTCCTGCTTGGCTGGCACTAACACCGCTGCCCCCGGGCACCCAGTGGCACAGGCCTAGCAGTGTCATAGTGGTCCCAGCTCTCGGAAGGTCCAGAATGCCATCGCCCAGGGCTGCCCTGGACACCAAGTCACCTCCACGCGGAGCTTGGCCAGCGCGCCGTGGGCCGGAGTCTGCGGCGTGGAAACCACGATCTCTTCTGGGTTCTTTCCGCCATGCTGTGGGGAGGGGGCGCTCAGGAAAGTCCAGAGACCAGGGCACCCGGCAGCTTGGGATCGGGGGACATCGGAGGACGTGCGGGAGCCGGGCTGCACAGCAGCACCCAGCAGAGGCCCGTGCCCGGCTGAGGGCCACACTGGCTCAGCAACGGACACCTGTGCGGGCTGGGGCGGGGCAGGCAGCACCACAGCTCAGCTGAGGTGCCCTTCAGAAGGCAGAAGGAGCCGGGCACATGGCGCACGCCTGTCACCCCAGCTCTCCGGAGGCTGAGGCAGGAGGATCGAAAGTTCAAAGCACATGGGGAAACTGAGCCATTCCGTGAGACCCAGTCTCAAAATAAAAAGTACGAAGGGTCCGGGGCCGTAGCTCAGTGGAAAGGCCCTGGGCTCCGTCCCCACGACTGCCAAAAATAAGGAAAAGCCAAGGTGAAAGCCCCCACTGCCACGGCCCAGCGTCCTCTGCTGGAGCCCAACCCTCCATGCTGTGCTCTCTGTCCTCCCGGGCAGCGCACCCCCTCACCCGCCCGGGGTCCGGGCAGAGTGGCCTGGGCCAGCCCTGCTCATGCGGCGCCCTGTGCCAACCCTGGCTCGCACCTGCTCTGGCTGTGCTGGCTCCGGGCCGGGGCCGTCAACCCCTCAGCAGGCGGGAATGAGGCGCCCTTGACACGCAGGTGCCAGGCGCTGCTCAGGGTCTTCACGCCCACTGCCTGCCCAGGTTTTAAGCTAATTTCCTTCCGCCCTTCCTCCCTCCGTCTTACAGGGCTGGGGTTGAGCTGACCCCGAAGGACTGTGGGGCTGGGAGTTTCTGGGCTTCTTCCACAGCTCCAGAGCCTGCCCTGCCTGTCCTGGCCCTGGAAGGCCCTGTCACCCCGAGCCGCCTTACCTGTGGCAGGAGCCCGGCCGGGCCGGGGAAGCGGCGTGTGCGGGTGTAGGCCGGGGTGCGGGTGGCGGCGGTGACCAGCTGCAGCAGGTGGTTGGTGACGACGGGCGTCTGCAGGGAGAAGTGCGGCCCTCTTGGGGTGCCGACAGGCGAGGCTGCAGGGGCCCTGGGTGCCGGGGGCAGCCGAGGAGAGGCTGCCCGGCCAGTCCCAGGGGTGGCAGGGGCACAGGCGCCGGGAGCCTGGAGTCCAGCAGGGCGAGGTTTACTGCCTGCACACGCGAGGGGAGGGGGCAGGGGGCTGCCGTGGCAGGGGCCCCCCGAGGAGGTGCCAAGTGGCCGGGGAAGCTGCCCTGGTGGGGTGGCACCTGCCCAGGTGGCACCAGGTCTCAGGAGTGGCCGTGGTGTCCTTTGGGGCCCAGTGGGCGCTGGGGGATCCTGGAGGGGTAGGGCAGCCACAGGGCGCGAGGTCAGCTCACTCAGGTCCAAGACCCGGGCCCTTTTAGCTGGGGCGGGGCCCCTGGCACCAGCCCCCAGGCCCAGCTCCAGGCTGGCCAGGACCTCATCCAGATCATCCTTGGCCAGCGCCCCCCAGGTCCCCTCTGTCCTCTGGCTGCCCATCCAGTTGCTGGAAGTTAGGTGCGGCCTTGGGGGGTCCCTGATGGCACGGGGCACGTCGGGGGCAGCAGGGCAAAGTCTCAAGGCGGGTGGGCATTGTGCCGCCAAAGCAGCCGAGGGGTGCAGGGCTGGTGGGCTTGGGCTCGGTGCCTGCAGGCTGGGGGACACAGGTTGCAGGTGCCCTGCCGGCCCAGGCGGTGCCCCAGCAAGCTGATTCTCGGCATCCTCCACGGCAGACAAGAAGTCCTGAGAGAGAGAGGGGTGGCCTCTGAGTCCGGAAACTGGTGTAGTGACCCCGGCCCACCACTTGGGTGTGCCCACAGGTGCAGGCCAGCAAGGGGCAGGCATGCAGCCCGACTCGGCCTCCCACCTCTGAGCCTGACTCTCCACCAGGTCCCATTAGAAATGCTCTAAGTTTTCTGGGGTTTTTTTTGTTGTTTTTTTAATTTTTGAGGCAGGGTCTCACTACATAGCCCTGCCTGGCCTGGAACTCAGAGCGGATCTTCCTGCCTCAGCCTTGAGTGCTGAGATCACAGGGGTGTGACACCACACCCACTCTATCAGAAACACCCTAAGGCCAAGGCACCAGTAGCTTCTCCTTCAGTGGGAGCTGGAAGAGCAAAGGTCCGGGGATACCAAGGTGTCCACGGGTCACCGAGGCCGCACCCCACCTCATGCCGACGCCCTTCCGTAGACCCCACCAGCGATGTGCCAAAAGCCTGGGAAACCCTAAAGTGAAACGTAGCTCTCTGAGCTGCATCAGGCGTGGTTGGGGAGACAAGGTGACACTGGCCCTGCTGCCTGTGCCTTCGGGAGGGAGCCATCCTGCTGCACGGGTTCAGTACTCTTGAGGAGCAGGGCTGCAGAAGAAGTGAACCCCATGAAGGAGGTCAAGGGCCACCTCTCGAGAGCCCCTGGAGGACGTGTGTCCAGGCCTCGGGAGGGGCAGGGCCAGCTGGCCACGACCGCAGAACAGAACCTTGAAGATCAAGCTGGACTTGGGAATGCCCTGTCTTTGTAGCACTTGGGAGGCTGAGGCAGGAGGATCACTGTGAGTTTGAGCCCAGGCTCGGCCACAATAGCCAGACCATCTCAAAAAAAATCTTTGTGGAAATGGACAGCAGCCCTGCATGACAGCAGAAAGAGGCCACTCTGCACAGGGGTTGCCCATCCCGCCTCGTCCTGCTGCGGCCCCAGCGGGCACCATCTCCATTCCCACGAGCGGTGACGCGCAGCAGCCCCACATGGTGACCTCACAGAACCAGGGCCTGTCCCCCTCACTCCGGCCACCCACTGCCTCCCGCCCCAGCCCTCCGAGTCCCAGGGGAGGCAGAGGGGATACGGCCACCTCCCCACGGTGCAGAAACAGCCAGAAGGTCAGACAATCCGGCACGCACTCTGGCTCCTCAGCCTGGTCAGTGCCCCTTGGGAACACCCCTGCCAGCCCAGAAATCCTTTTCTGTTTGTTTTCTGAGTGTCACTGTGTAGTTCAGGCTGGCCTTGATCTCACTGGGGTCCTCCTGCCTCAGCCTCCCCAGTGCTGGGATGACAGGCGTGCATCACCATGCCTGGGTTCAGGAATTCTGATAAAACTGGCAGGCGGCCGTGAACATCCCTCCTCGAGTGGAAGACACAGGGGAAGGCTGAGCGTGGGCCATGACCCCACGCCGCAGGCTGTGGGCCACCCAGGAACGTGCTGCCCAGGCTGTCCTGGTCTCTCAGGTCAGCAAATGCAATCACTGCCCGGCTCAGCCCAGGACAGGGCCCTTGCCACGTGACGTGTGACAGGCGCCTCACAGCTCAGGACTGGGCCGTGTCTGGCGCGGCTCAGCAGCCTGTGCCATGCACTGCTCTTGAGAGGAGGCTTACTTTAAGGTTCTGAGCCTTCCCCAGCTGCTCAGAGAGAGGAAGGATCCACACCAACCAGCAGAGGCTGGGCAGGCGCACCCCAGGGCCCAGCCTGGCTCTGCCCTGACACCTCAGCCCCGGCCAGCCCCCAGCGTCCCCTCACCTCGTCCTCGAAATCCTCGTCCACAGAGAACAGGGTCCAGGGGCCGCACGCCTCCGAGGGAACAGCGGGTGGGGCTGACGAGTCTCGGCCGCAGGGGGCGCCAGGCCCGCTCTCCAGCCTGGGGCCAGCAGGCTCTGGGCGGTGCTGGTGCTGAGGAGGGGCAGGGCGGAGACAGATCCCGTAAAAGACTTGAAAGTCTTTCTGATTTTATCCAGATTTTTAATTTAAGCACCACTTTAACCACTTTACAGGTAACAGGAGACCCAGACAGAAAGAAAAGGTTTAAAAAGAGAAAGAACAGCCAGGCCTGGCGCCAACCGCTTTTTTTTTTTTTTGGTTTTTTTCCGGTACCGGGAATTGAACTCACGACCTTGAGCGCGCCAACCGCCTTAATCCCAGCACCGGGAGGAAGAGGCAGGAGGATCCCCACACATAGCCTGGGCGCACGGTGAGCTCCAGGCCATCCCGGACTACATAGCCAGACCTTGTTTTTACTACAGAATTTGACCTTTCAGGCATGAAACCGTCACACAGGCATCTTTACACAGTCGCAACCACTCGTTTGGGGGTTTTGTGGCGCTTTCTTCTGCTGTTGCTACTTTGACGTTTCTCTCTTTTGGCACGTTTCATCTTGAAGGTATACAAGTCTTTTTCTTGTTTCGGTTTTTTGAGACAGGGTCTGGCTACCTAGCCTAGGAAGCCTGGACCTCGCGGCGACCCTCCTGCCTCGGCCTCCCGCGGGCAGGCGTCCCTCCCCCAAGCCCCGACCCCAAACCCGGGCCGCCGCCCCGTCCAGGCCGCCTGCCGCCGTTCCGGGGCGAGCCAGGACCGGCGAGGAAACTGAGGCCGGCGGGCGGGGAGGGCGCTCCGAGGTGTCGGTCCTGGCCCCCCGCCCCTCCAGCGGGGCGCGCGTTACCATGGAGACGCGGGCCCGGTCCACCTCGCTAGCCGCGCGGGTTCGAAGTCGCCGCCGCCGGAGGCTCCGCCCCTTAAAGGCGCAGGCCGCTTTGTCGCCCTCCGACTTCCGGTCTGGCTTAAAGGGGAGGCGCGTGCGCGCTCGGTCGCCCTCCAGCGTTCGCTCGAGTGCAGCCCAACAGACCCCAGGCGCCCGCCCGACGCGGGCCCGGTCGCTGGAAGCAGAGCCCGCTCCGCCTCGGGACCAGGCGGCTGTCGCAGTCCCCACCCTGCCCGCTGATCCTGCGGCTCTCGCTAGCCTCGCAGGCGAGATCTCCCGGAGACCGGGCGGCCCCAACCCTCAGGGCCGCCACACCCGAGCACCCCGCAGCGCCGGTCTGGCTCAGCACGTCTTTTTTTTTTTTTTTTTTCTTTTTGAGAGAGGGTCTCGCTGTGCTCAAGGCTGACCTTGAGCTCACTTTGTAGCCCAGGCTGGCCTCGAACTCGCAATGAACCTCCTGCCTCAGCCTCCCGAGTGCCGCCGCGATTACAGGCGTGCCTAGTGTGTGCAGTTAGCTTTCGTTGTGTAGTGCTGGGTCAGAGCCCAGGGCCTCGCGCACACGCGACGACGACGCTCCGCACTGGACCGCACCCCGGCCCCAGCTGGGCCATCAGCAGAGGGGCTGAGGTCTCCACGGAAGACCTCGTGATGGGCGGGCTGAGGTCCACACTGACGTCCCCAAATCCAGTGTCTTCCCCTTCCTGCACCCTCACGGCCGGGCCGTGCAGCCCCGGTCCCCAGGTGCTCGGCCTGCACCCTGCCCCTCCCTCAGAGTGCGCAAAGCAGGCTCCCGCGGCTGGTCAGGAAACCCTGCCAGACTCCAGGGCCAGCCCCGAGCAGGCTCCGAAGGGTGGGTCTCGCGCCTCCCCAGCACCTGCGGCCACCCGCACCTGCGCACGGAGGTGGGCGGGCGGGGCGGCAACCAGCGGGTGCGACCTCAGCTTCAGCAAGCCTAGCTCCAGGCTGTGCTAAGACTGGGCTCCAGGGAGCTGTGCTCCGGACTGAGGCGCAGGGGACACAAGGCCCCTAGCGGTGCTGGGAGCAGCCCGCTTGTGCAGTTTGGGAAACCCCTCCCCACACCCCACCTCCTCTCGCCTCACACCCATATTCAGACCTCATGGGCTTCTTTTTTTTTTTTTTTAATTTATTTATTTTTTAAAAACATGCTGTGCTAGTTTTCTGTTTTTTTCCAGTACCAGGAATCGAACTCACAACCTTGTGCTTGCCAGGCAGGCGCTGTGCCGCTGAGCTAAATCCCCAGCTCCATCTCATGGGCTTCTGTATGAACTACTACAGCCCCACCTGTGTGGCTCCCATCCCAGTTCTCCTTCCCAGCATACACAAGGGCCCACATCACCCACAACGCCCCCCCGCCGTCCCTAGAGGGTGACCCCAAACTACCAGGTCTTTGGTGTGCTGGCAGATGCCTCCTGCAGTGCCTTGTCTCCCAACTATGTCCCTCCGGCACCGCTGCCTCCCCTCTCTGTCCGCCCTCTTCCCCAAGCCCCTGGTCCCTTGCTGCCTGCTCCAGGAAGCCTTCCCTGACTGCCCCCAGACCTGGCCTCCCTCCCCAGCTCCCCGCCTTGGTGCCACTTCCCTACACCTCGGGGCTGCCATGGCCCCGTGGTCTCCAGGTCCCTCGCGCCTCCCCAGGGACGTCACGCTCATTCCAGCAAGACTGTGGCTTCTCTCCTTGGGAGCCAGCGCTGGCTTGCAGAAGACACAGTTGACGTTTGTTGAATGACTGAATGCCTCCACCAGGCAGGCTAGCGTGAGTCTGGATGACCTGGGCTCAGGTCCCGAACACCTGCAGTTATTATCGAGGGGTCTCCCCCCGCCGGGGTGTAGGGACGCGAGAGCGCCGGGCCCGCTGCTTCCTCTGGGTCCAGAGGTCCACCTCTTCCTCCCGGTTTCCGGGGTGATGGAAACATTTCTGGTCATGCCAGGCGCGTGGTGGCCCGGCCTCTCGCAGCCGACCCAAAGGAGCAGAGGCTTCATTGTCCTTGATTCTCACGAGCGCGGCGGCCGGGCAGGGCCACAGGCGCGGGCAGCCTGGCTGCCCACCTGGCTCTGTCCGCGTCCAGCCGGCCGGCCCCGCTCCCGTGTGCGAGGGCATGCGAGCGCAGGACGCCGCGTGCGCGCTGTGTGGGTGGCGCACGTGGCTGCCCCGCCCCCTCCAGCGGAGCCCTGAGTCAGCCCCGTGGTGACGACCAAGGTGAATCATTCATGAGGCTCGGCCGGCCGCACGTCACCAGCCCCGGGATGAGGACGCCGGCCCCACGCACTGCAGATGTCGGCAGGCACTGACGCCAGCAGGCTGGGCCCGGCTCGAGAGCCTCCGCCTGGCCCGGTCCCCTCCCCTGGCGGGCGGGCGGCTGAGTCATCGCAGAGCCCGGGGGCTCTGGGGACAGGACCCAGGCCCGCAGTCCCTACCCACGGAGCTCCCAGCCTGTCCCAGTCGGTCTCCAGGCCGGAGGGCAAGCGACGGGACGCAGGGTGCAGGCAGCATCTCAGGCTCCAGAGAAATCCGAGGCCCAGGCTGATTGCCCCTGGGGGGGGGGCGGTGTGAAGGGGGTCGTGAAGTCCCCCAACCCCTTCCCTGAGGCTTTGGGACCTGGGCTGCTCCTCCACCCACCACTCACCTCCTGCATCAGCTGGCTGGGGGCAGCAGGGTCGGTGGTGTCGCCCCCTGCGCAGAAGCCCACAAAAGCCCTTGGAGCTGGGGTGCAGAGGTTCAAGGCCAGGCTGGACCCTCAGCACCAAAGCCCAGCATGACCTGGACGGGGTGCGGTGCAAGGCAGTGCACTCGTGTGACATGCTAAGTTCATCCCAGCACCAACAGACAGGACAGACAGACAAACACTGGAACCCCAACATCACTAGCAGGGGATGGAAGGCAGAAACGGGTGAGCTGGGCGTGGGGGTGCTTGCGCGTCGCCAGCATCTGAGAGCCGCAGGCAGGAAGATCACAGGACCTCAGACTCAGTGACCGGCTCACAATGGAAGATACAATTAAGAAGGCTGGGGCCGGAGCTCCCGCGAAGGCCCTGGGCTCAGGCCCTGGGCCACAGCAAAGCGGGGAGAGGCTGGGCCAGCTCGGGGGTACCAGCTCGGTGGTAGAGCTCTTGGGTGTGACCCCCAACACCTCAGAAAGTACCTGAAAACTATTCACGCAGTTACGGATGTTCTCACGGGCTTCCAGGCTTAGAAGCGTTTCTTTCTCCTCTTCGAAGTCTTCAGCCCTCTGCTTCAGGCCACCCAGCCACCACCCCCTCCCCAAACGCTTTTCTTTTTATTTTGAAACAACGGCTCATTATGCAGCCCAGGCTGGCCTTGAACTTGTGATCCTCCTGCTTCAGCCTCTGGAGTGCTGGGATGACGTGCTCGCCACACGTTCAGATCCAGTCTGGGCTGCATAGTGAGTTCAAGGCCAGCCTGAGCTACATAGCAAAACCCTGTTTTGAAAAAAAAAGAAAAAGTCATGCCTTTTTACTGAGAAAAAGTAATTAACCTATTAAGTTTTTAAGCAGCTATTGTTGGGTGGTGACAGGATTTAACGGTAAATGACTATTTTATTACAGTGATAAAAATGTTCTGAAAGTGGACCCTGCCCAGCGTGGTGGCATACACCTGTCATCCCAGGGCTCGGGAGGCTGAGGCAGGAGGATTGTTTCGAGTTTGAGGCCCGCCTGGGCTACAAAGTGAGCTCAAGGCCATCCTGACCTGCATAGTGAGACTGTCTCAAAAAGACAAAAAAAAGAAAGTGGACCATGGTAGGGTTTGTACAGCTTGGTGACTTCACTGAAAACGTCTGAGCTGTGTGCCTAGAACTGGGTGAACTTTGTGCTCTGTGCGTGGTTTCTTCAATACGATTGTTTGGAAAGCTCTGAAAAGCTGCTGGCTGGGCTGGACCCGCTGGGGTCGCTCAACCCGGGGGCCCTAGGCCGGGGCGAGGGTCAGGTCCAGGTCTGGGTACAGAGGGGGGCAGTGCATGGGTTGGGGTGGCCCCTCCATGGCTCGCACCTGCCTTCGCACCACGTGACCCAGGAGCTGGGAGAGGCTGGGCCCAGGTGCAGGTGCAGTGGGTGGGAACGGTGTGGTCCGGGCAGAAAGGAGCATAGGAGGAGGGGAGGGCAGCCCCACCCCAGAGCCCTGCTCGGACCCAGAGCTACGGCGGCAGAGCCAGGCCAGGCCTCACTTCTTGGGGCAGGGCTGCCACACTCCACGCTGCACAGGCTCTACACCCTAACCCAGCTCAGCGGGCAGCAGCTGGGCACGGGAGGCACAGCCCTGTGGGGCATGCACAAAGCCCTCTTCCACGCCTGGCACCGCCCCCCAAAAGTGCTCATTGTGCCCACCCCAGGGAAGGACGGCAAAGAAGCAGCAATGCATGGGGACTGTGGGCAGGGAGGCCAGGGGGCCCCAGCAGACACAGCGTCAGGGGCCCTGGTATCTAGCCCCGTGGGACCCAACACGGCACAGCCATTCGCGAAGGCTTCGCCCCTCGGAGCCCCCCTCCTCACCCAGGGGGTGACGAGCATGACCCTGACATAGTCAAGATGCTCTGAGGATGACTTTTTTTCTTTTTCTTTTTTTTTGAGACAGGGTCTTGCTGTGTATTTCAGGCTGGCCTTGAGCTCACTTTGTAGCCCAGGCTGGCCTCAAACTTGCAACAATCCTCCCGCCTCAGCCTCCCAAGTGCTGGGATTACAGGTGTGTGCCACCACACCCGGCTGATGGGTCTTGTTCTTGAGTGTCACCTGACCTCTGGGCCCAGGTTTCCCCAGGCTCTGCTGCGTTCCAAGGGTTGACACAGCTTTGAAAGACATACACAGGCATGGGCGCATCTGGGGACGGCTGTCACTCGCACCGCGGTGTGGGCACGGCCTTGGCCCCTGAGCAGGCAATGGGCACCCTGGGCCCTGGGCCAGGTCCAGCAGGGGGCGGGATGTGACAGCGTCCTCCTCCACCAGCCCCTGGAGTGCAGCTCCTCCTGCTGCTGGAGGGATGGGAAGGTGCCACGTGGGCCACTCCAG